GTTTTTCAAAATATTTATGTATTTATTTTGAGGAGGGGGAGGGGCAGAAAGGAGGGAGAGAGACAATCCCAAGCAGGCTCCAGGCTGTTAGCACAGAGCCTGATGTGGGGCTGGAACTCACAAACTGTGAGATCACGACCTGAGCCAAAATCAGTAGTCGGACACTTAACCGAATGAGCCACCCAGGTGCCCCAAGGAGCACTGAGTATTATTGTAACCTGGATCGCCAGTCCAGAACTAGGACCAGTGTATACCAGTAAGTACAGTGTAATCCCCATGTTCCCCTTCTTTCCCTTCCACCTACACTCAGCATCCTTAGGTTCACTAGGTTAGATGTCTTTTTCCTTTCCTGGCATCCATGCACCCCGCTAGGTGGTGTAACAAGGGGCACTCTAGTAACTTCTTCCTCTCTGCCTGCCACTGCTCACCAGGCACTGTCATTGTCCCCAGATCCCTCCTCTGAGCCTTTCTAGGATCTGGCATAGCCAGGGCTTACATGCCTGAGGTTTCTCCCTGGAGCACAATCCAGCAGGAGAAAGTGCCACCACCTGAGAATGCACTCCTGCGATGGTCACCAGGCCCCATTTGCACCATCTATACAGTGTCACTCGTGTGTGTGTGTGTGTGTGTGTGTGTGTGTGTGTGTTTACAGATCTGGGAAGAAGGAGAACTTCTTCTTCCTGAACTAGACATTCCCTCATATTTAATTAAAAGGAAGAAAAGCTGTTGTGTATCATACAGTTGATAAAATGTAAGCAACATGACTTCATTAGAGGAGCAGATGGAAATCTCTACTCCTGTGAATGTGTAACACTGACTGGCTGTTCACTAGCCGGCCCATGTGCAAATTCAACCAAACAGATCTGGCCATGCACAGAACTGTTTGTTCATACTAGTTTTCAGAACTTGGTAACTCTAGCTCATGAGACATTTTTAAAAAGCAACTTTGTTCAATAGAAAAAATAAGTTGATTACAGTGGCTGTACCAATAAAATGTCTGTAAGCCAGAGAGAACCTGGCAAGACCAAAACAACAAGGGTAGGTAACTGTGACTACAAGGGTAGTCACAGTTGTGACTTCCTCTCTTCTATGACTTTCAACCCGGAGAACCTCAGTAGCTTCAGCACACTTTCTGGGCACCTCCTGTTATAGAACTATACGTTCTAGCATGTGGCCCAAATGCTGGAGTCATTCTGTTTCCCCAAAGCTGCCCTCTTGGGCACCCAGAAGCTGGAGCCTGAAGCTTGTGTAGGATTTGGGAAACTGGTACGAAGGGAATGGGATAGGGTGTGTTTGGGGAATGCCAAGCAGGTAGGCTTGTCCAGAGCCGAGAGGTTCTGTGAGGTTCAGAGGCCACAGCCCTGAGTCTCGAACATCAGGCTATCGAGTGTGGACTTGGAGGAGCCGCTGGAGGTGGGGGGCATGGGGAAGAGGAGGGGAGATCGGAGTGGCAGAAAGACGAACATGCACGAGACAATAAATTGGAAAAGACCAAGAAGCTGACAAGCGATGGGAGGGGACTGTGTCAGTCGCACAGACTGGTTGGAGGGCAGAGCTCTCACACACAGCAGCCCCAGTTAAGAGGCATTGCTGCAGTTATTAGGGTCGGGGCAGATTATAATAGAGCTAAAGGGAAGAGGTCAAGGAGTGGGTGTGGAAGGAAGACTCCTCCACAGCATCTGGGCTAAAGCTGCTTACAGGAAAACACGAAGTTCTGAGATCTTGAAGGTTTTCTTTATGTTGTTTCTCACTTGTATATATATATGGAGAGGGAGAGGGATATATATATATATATGTATATATATGTTTATGTTGTTCACTGTGTGGCTGAAATCAAGAGACATTGATTTCACAGGTGTTGCTCTGTGCCAGGCGTGTTCTGGGTGAGGTAAGGAACACAGTTGCCAGTAGGGGCCTACCGTCTGGAGATACCCCGTGTCCAGATAATAGTATCTGATGCCGCGTTCTTCTACCATGGAAATCATGGTATTTACACACGTTCAATGCTGCATTCAGTTCTTGCCTACCATATACTTAATAGCATTTTGAGAGGGTGACTGTAGCTGCTCAGAGGAACCGAGGCATCGCTGCCTGTGTGCCAAGTACAAGTATTAATACAGAACTGGAGATATGACTTTGTAAAATGGCAGGACTAAAGAAGTTTAAACTGTGTATGTTTACTGAATTCTAGAATGCTAGGATTTCAGGAGAGCCCCCCAAAAGTTGGAAAAAGACAAATATAGGCCAGACAAAAGGCAAGGCCCCCTAAATGCCAGTAGTAAATTGTATCGCCCAAGGAGGTGACAGACAGAAATAGGGATTTGTCAATGTTGGTCTTGAATGAATTATCAGGAGGTGTTAGGTTCATGTCTGACTTCTAAAGCCTAGCATTTGGGAAGGTATAACATGGGAGTGGAGGTAGACTGCTAGAATCACCTCCATCATAAAGTTTGTTGTGGTCTCCATCATACCCCCTTCCTAGGGAATGGGGAAGAGTCTTCTATATATGTCATAATCACAACCAAGCTCTGATTACCCTGGTGT